CAAAACCAAAAGAACTAGAAGAACAATTATAATTAAAACCCATAGGACAAACCAGTATTAGCATACTAGATTTAAGTTCCTAACGTGTAGAAATCTCTCAATTTGTATGTTTTGGTTCACAAGACAAGATATAGAGCTGTTGTGCAAAAATTGCTAACAAGTAGATCTAGAGCTGTTGCTTTTAAATCAGCAGTAAGACAAGGAAAGAATAGCAAAAGATCTAAAGCAATAGGAGAAGATTTAATAACTAGAATCTTAGTAAGTTCCTCTACAGCACCAACACCTTAATTTCCTTCTTAGCAATCAGTAGTTAGGTGTAAACTCTTGAGTTTGGACTTCCCGAGAAGTCACCTAGCCCAGTACTATTCAAACCCAAGGACATTTAACCCCAAATATCTTAAAACCTAATTAGAAATTAATAACAAAAATAACCTTAATCGATTGGAAAAAGGGGTGCACTTTTATTCATGGCCCTTTCCCTTTATATTTAAACCTTATGGATCGTCTCTCAAATTATTTTCTTTGGTTACTTACAATCCACCATGCTTTATTGCAAATTCATGCCCTTGTGAGCAAAAGTTGAGAGTTGCAGCTCTCTCGAGAGCCCCACTCTCTTAACACCCTACCCTTTAAGTCAAGCTCAGCGGGAGCAAATTAGACCAACCAGATGTCAATCAATATGTGGTGTGATTCCCTTAGCCAACCAACAAAGTCAGATCCGAGACCCCTCTGATGCCAAATGTAAGCTCTTGAGTTTGAACTTCCCAATAAGTCACCCAGCCCAGTATTATTTAAACCCAATGACACTTAACCCTAAGTATTCCAAGACTTTTAACCGATTGGAAAAAAGGGTGCACTTTTGTTCATGGGCCCTTTCCCTTTATATTTGAACTTCATAGATCGTTTCTCAAGTTGTTCTCTTTGGTTGTTTACACTAGGTCTTTGGTGAATTAGCGGTGGCAATATCCTCCATACTATTAACCAAGCCATTGTGTGGATGCTATGCAAAATCAAAGATGGTGTGAGGAAATATAAGCAAGAAAACTAGCAGCCTCACTGTGCTAAACAAGAGAAAGAGACCACAAAACCCAACAATTGAGAAGAAATCAAAGCACATTTCTAAAAGTGATGATAGTTAATTGAGCTTGGTCTCATGTTGTGAAGCTCTTAACTTATTTCTCTGGCAAAGGAGTTAGCCATTGGAAATATCACAATACCATTGGAAATATAACTATTGTGAAAAAACATATAGCAATCCACCAACAGACCCAACTATGGCCCAGCCATATATTGAAGTGTGTAAGTACATATATGCCATCCCACCTCCTAGTGTTGGATGCTGCCATCAAAATCCTTATTGAGTAGCACCACTAGCAATCACCACTACCACTAAGAGCTACATGCTTCTCCAAGCACTCCATCATGCTTGCCATACTCATGCTTTTGATTCAGAACACTATCAACCTCTCTGACCAAACTCTAAACAATTGTATTACTTTTGCAAACACTCATTTGTTCTTTTTGTAGGAAGAACAAAGCTGAAATTAGTTGTTTGGTCTTTCTCACATTTAGTTCCCACCACCATTAGCACCACTATAAACACCATTTCCACCTGGGCTTAACTTTGGGCAACAAACAGTTATTTAAATATCAGTCTTACTCGTACAGATTAAAGGCTTCTCCCTTCTTTACATAATCCACGAAAACAAAAGAGGGGATATTATCTAATCAATCCAACCAACCATGTCCAAATTATTTTCTAGTTTTGGCTGAGAGATTTATATTATTTTCATTATACATTTTTTGTGTTAATGCCCTAGATTCGGACATTGAAATGAGGATATTCTAAGGATATACTTTACTGCAACAAACACTTTTACTTTTGACCAGTCAAATAAGTAAGGGCGACCTAAGTAAGTTATAACTAAAATATTTTCAAGTCATTAGGGTAAAAGTGTGAGCATTTCGATGCTTGGCGATGTCAACTACTTGGAGCAGCTGGGATGCCTTTCTCGCATTGCTGCGAGGGTTTCTGCGAGTGGGTGTGTGAGAGGTTGGAGAGAATGTTCCCTCTCATAATCTCATACACGCATGCGAACCAGCAGGCTCGTTATGCTGCTGGCACGGTATAAAGCTTTCAGAGTTTTCTTTTCTCCGCTGATCATACTGGGTGTTTGATTAGATGTTCGTGACCGGCAACCGCGAGTTTGTTTTGCTGAATGCAAATCACATGGAGCTCCTGGTGGAGACGTTTATGGAGCGGCACAGGATCTGGTGTGGTTCGTGAGCAAGGATCAGAAGGTGACCAGGGACGAGGTTTACATCTGCTTCCCCGAGATCAGCCAAATAGGTGACCTTATAGTCTCTTTATCACTCTTCCAGCTCTCAAATTCTCTCATTTCTTTTGCAGCTCGCCGTCGTCTCGCCTCTGTGATGGCTCTCAAGCTCGCTCCAATTCATCAAGAACTTCAAAACGTCAATGGAAATCAACAAAAGTCAACAAAGTCAATAAACCTCAAAGACTATTGACTTTCTTTGCATCCTAAACAATGTCCATCGTATGAGACAGCCGCACGATTTGGTGGCGCTCTTGCGATCGTGCGGCTTCCATCGCGACCTGGCGCGCGGTCGGCGAATTCACGCGCAGATCCTGTCGTGCGAGCAGTGGCCCTCGAATTTCCTTGCGAATCAGCTCGTCCTCATGTATGGCAGATGCAAGAGCGTCGAGGAGGCGTGCGAGGTCTTCAATGGCATCACCCAGCCGGATCTCTTCTCGTGTAACATCATGCTCGACGCATTTGCCAAGAACGGGCAATTGTGTCAGGCAAAACACTTCTTTGATTTCATGCCCGCTCGAGATGCCATTTCGTGGAATGTGATAATCAAAATTTTTGCCTTAAGCGAAAATTTGCAATGCCTAGACACTGTGTGTAATCGGCTGCCTGCTTACGGCATAAACTCCTGGAACTCTATCATTGCAGCATTTGCCCAGTTCGGGGAAATACTCCAGGCTAAGCTTTTCTACGAGAAGATGAAACGTTATACTGACGACACTATTGTCGCATCGACTGCTATAATAGTTGCGTATGGGAGGTCTAACCTGGCCCACGAAGCTAAAGTTTTGTTTGATTCCATGCCGCAGAAAGATGTAATCTCATGGACTGCGCTCCTCGCTGCAAATGCCGGAAGAAGGGACCTTGTGGAACTTGCAAGAATGATCTTCGCGGCCATGCCGCAGTGGAACTTGGTCTGCTGCACGACCATGATCCAGATGCTGGCTCAGGACCGAAGCTTGGATCAAGCACGCGATATCTTTGATCGATTGCCTGAAAGGAACATCGTCGCCTGGACTGCAATGATCCAAGCCTACCTTCAAAGCTGCCAGTTCCACCAAGCGAAGCTCCTCTTCGATCAAATCCCATTCCCTCCCGATTCCACGCTCTCCACCTTGCTGATCTCTTCCCTCCCGCGAGACGCTTCCATCGACGACGCTATCGCTATCTTCAACCGCAGCTCCCCACGCGATCCAAGAACCTGGGAGGCGATTCTCTCGGCCTTTTTGCAACTTAGTCTCGTCCAGGAAGCTAACAGCGTCTTCTGGATCATGCCACAGCACTCGACGATCGCTTGCACGATCATTCTCCGCGCTCAAACCGATACCGCGACCTCCAAGCTCATCTTCGATCAAATGGAGCACCGGGATGCCATCTCTTTCAACGCGATGATCCAGTCCTTCTCTCAGCACCACGATCTGGAGGCCGCTTGCGAGATCTTTCATGCAATGCCCGCCTGGGAAGCCTGTTCTTGGACCACCATCCTCCAGTGCTATGCCCAAGCTGGGAATATCACCCAAGCACGCAGTGTTTTCGATGCCATGGCCGAGAGGAACGTTGTCTCCTACAACGGACTTCTCCAAGGATACGTTGCCAGTGACAATTTTGAGCTCGCCAAGAACACCTTCGAGAGAATGCCCGAGCACGACGTTGTGAGCTCCACGACGATGATCTCGGCGTATAGTCGGAGTCGAGGAACTCTCGATCAAGCTCGAGCGCTCTTCGATACTCTCCCGGCGAGGGACGCTGCCTGTTGGAACGCGATGGTGTTTGCCTATGCCCGAAATGGTTTTCTCGCCGAGGCAAGCCGGCTCTTCGCGAAAGTTGGCTCCGCCAACACCGTGCTGTGTAACGAGATGATGGCTGCGTATTCTCGGGCCGGGCTCGTCGAGAAATCTCTAGAGCTTTTCCACTGCATGCCTCGACGAGATCTTGTGTCGTGGAACTCGGCTCTCGGTGGCTGCTGCGAGAATGATCTGTTCGTCCAGGCGAGAGAAGTGTTTGACTTGATGCCTCAGAGAAGCGATGTGTCGCTCACGACGATGATTTCTGTGTGCTCCCGGGGCGGTAAACTGGAAGAAGCTGAGCATATATTCACGAGCATACCTACGAACCAGGAGAACGGCGTGGCTTCCACGGCCATGGTTGCAGCGTATGCTCGAAACGGAGAGTTGGAGCGAGCGAAGAAGCTATTTGAGACCATCTCGAGGCCGACCAGTGTTTCCTGGATCGTCATGATCGCTGCTTGCGCTCAGCACGGCCTGGTGACTGAAGTGATCGAGTTGTTCCACAGTATGCCGGTGAGGGACTTCAAGTGTTGGAATGCCACCATTGCAGCGCTGTCTCAGAACGGCTGTAGCAAAGAAGCAGTCGAGTTGTATAAGTTGTTCCAGCTTGAAGGTCTGGAGCCGAGCGAGATCACTGTGCTGAGCGTGTTATCTGCCTGCAGCCGTGCTGGATTGCTGGCCGAAGGTTACGAGTGTTTCAAGTCAATACAAGCGGACGACCGGCTGAAAAAACTGATGTCACCGGAACATTACGCTTGCATGGTTGATCTTCTCTCTCGAACTGGGAACTTGTCCGAGGCCCGGGCTTTCATAGAAAGCATGCCTCTCGCTGCAAGTAGTTCTGTTTGGAATTCACTGCTGGGTGCTTGTGGAACTCAGAGTGAAAAGCTCCTGGGTATAACAGCTGCACAACAAGCCATGGAGCATCCCAACGCAAGATCCTGCTCGTCACCATACGCGGCACTCGCAAACGTCCACTGCATGGAACTAGATTTTTTATGAGCCAAGCAAGAGAGTAAAAGTGACAAGGGATCACCTTATGGTTTCGTTATTCCTCCTCTGCGACTGCCACCATAACATCTTCTATTGACCACGTTCGACGCTCAGCTTTGTTTGGTGGATTTATGATGGCACGCTCAGCTGCAGCAGGCCGGTAACCGATGATAATCTCGTGTCTTTGCCTTGCACGGATCATCACCTCGTAAAAATTCAGCTCCTCTTGGTCATACAAGTAGAGTGCTGCAGTTCGTATGTATAATTCATTGCCCTGTAAAAACAAAACAAAGATTCAAAAAGGAAAACAAAGAACGAAAAGGAACTCACCTCTTCAGAGAAAAGCTCTTCGAGGACACGGTTGATTTGTTTATCTTCAGCCACCATTGCTAATGCCATACTCACTAACTCATTAGAAAGCACGTAATCACCTATCTTAGAGACTGAGACCAGATGCCTTGTTCTAGAGTCAAGGATCTCGCTGATAATGATTGACTTGTTAGAAGCTTGCTCCATTTCTCGTATCCAAGATGTGTGACTCGAGCCTGCTTGCCGAATTTGTACAGTTTTTGTTTCTTTGTAAGGCAGCCGTTTGGACTGAAAAACAAAATTAAGGAATTTTGTATCGCAAAGTAGGATCTGAACGTACCTGAATATCTCGAATCAATAGCAGCGTAGCTAAGGAGCGCGAATCTGCTTTAACAACAGACTCTTCCAGAGCCTCATCTGCCAGGATCAAAATCTATCCGTACAATAGATAGTGAAAACGTTTTTAAAAAAAGATCTAGCAATCTGTCCATACCGAATCAAACGTTTCCAAAGGAAGACTTTCAAGGTGACGACGAATGACCGCATTTCCCTCGCGGTGTACGAGCTTGATATTAAACAACAACTGCGGATCAAGTCCACCATCCAACAGTTTCTTCTCCCTCTCATGCTCGGGGACTTCGCTAAACATCCATAACTCGGAACCTTGGGCAAGGAAAGCTTCCAGTACCTGCAAAAAGAAAGAAACAAACTTGGTAAGACACTCATCTTTAAAGCACTAGAAAGCATTCAGAGAGAAAAGTAGTGGGAAGTGGGAGGAATATCGGTGTCTGCTTCAGCTGCGCTCATGGGACCTCCACGAGTAACCTTACCATTATCATGTCATCCATGTCTCGTCTCCAACCACAAAACAAAACCTTCTCAGGATACTTTCGGTGTGACATGACTTTCGGCAGAGGTCCCGCTCGCACCTGCAGCCGGGGGAGGGGAAAGGGTGAGCACAGCAGAGATCTTGCCATCTTACCATAATCATATCCTCAACATCACGGCGCCAACCACAGAGAAGCATCTTCTTTGGGACCTTTGGCTTTCGACAAACGTCTAGTTCAGGTGAAACATTTTCAACCTGGTCACATGAGACGTTCCATTTTCAGTCCGCTACTATGCTTTCTCTCCCCCCAAACTTACCTTTTTTTCTTCCTAGACTATAAGCTTCCTATGACTACTTTGCTAGTAAACTTGAAAAGCAAAAGATACAGTTCGTACCTTTGGCACAGGAGCTGGTGCGTAAGTGTCGTCATCTTCTGCAATAACCAGAAGCTCGTCCCCTTCAAGTAGTATGTAGTCGTCTTCCGGGTTGAGAAGAATGCGGCCATTGGAGGCTGCTTTCACTCCACAAGGTACAGCATCCGGGAAGCTGATCAAAACGTCTTTGAAGTTCAGGCCATCCAGCTGAGGCCACCTTTTGATGTAGAACTCGGCGTTGTCAAACCCGAGTATGTCCTCCCAGATCTGCAAAAGCAAGAAGACTTTAAGACAAAGGATGGTTGATGTCGAACCTGAGCAAGTCCCGGTTGTCTTGCACATTGGATCATAAGGCGGCCAATCACGTCATGTGCTACTACTGTCTCTACCATTTCTCCACCGACGAGCTTCACCAGTGGTTCGTTGTCGATGTCGCTTAGCTCTACTACAACATGTCCCTTGAGCCCTTCCTTGACTCCGGCAAGGCTTAGCACCACACGTAATGCTCGCGCGTCACTCTACAACATCAAAACCATTAGGACAAGGACAGTCGTTTGCAAGGTTTTACCTGATCCGCATTCTCGACTTCTGCAAGAACTATAATTGAACGCGCTTTAGAAACTGAAACCTGGTTTCACAAGTTAAGGTGTCATGTAAGAAATAAGTCTCTGGTACCTTCTTGAGGTCGGCCATAATGAGAGGACTACCACTTCTGCATATTACTGAAGTTCCCATGAAATCAAACTCCAACTTTGCTATGTCAATCTCCATTTGCTCCTTATCTCGCTCTGCCAGTACAACGACAATGCTGCCACCTAAACTCTGATTTGCAATTGCTAATTGTTTCAAGAGCGATCCCTGAAAGCATGTATTAGTCCGGAGCCGAAAACTAGAGAAGCAAAATCCATGCTTACCAATTTATCACTCCATCCAAGAACCAGTGTATGGTTACTCTCTATAACTTCGCTTTTGCCTTTCTTGAGCGAGTCCACCTTCTCTGAAATGGCGTCCGAAACGAGTCCCAACATGAGAGCAAAAATAAGAAGTCCTCCCAAGCTGATGCAGACCGAAACAAATCTCGGACCAAAACCGATGTTGTCTGCGTGATTTCCAGAGTCTGCAACATAAGTCCACGCCCTCCAAAAGGCATCCCAAATGCTATCCTGGCTAACGGCATACAGTGCTAATCCCCCTACGACTATAAGCACTAGAGTTGCCAGCAACAGTGCTAGCGGCTTCACGTAAGAAAAAGAAGAAAAAACGACGTCTACCCTGTAAGCTAACCTCGTACTCAATGGGACCTCTTCTTCGTTGCTTCTGTCACTCAGCCCAAGCTTGGGAATCTGATCGAGAAACTTATGCAGGAGAAACGGCATGACCAGGAAAAAACTGGAAAGGAGCAAGGCATAGTTTCTAATTCCTCTCGTACGCAACACTTCTACCTCAGTTTCTACTTCCCGGATAATCTGCGGATCGATTGTTTCAACCTCTCTGCAAAACTTGACTCGTACGCTGCATTCTGTCAGCTCTTTCCTGGTTTTAGCCACCTCTTGCTGCAAAAACAAGCAGAAAAGGTCAATCGATGGCTCGATGAAAGTTGTTATACCTCCAGATGAACTGCCTGGTCCCGCATAGCCAAGGCATACAAAAGAACAACTGAGCATGCGATGGATAGCTGGAAACGAGAAACACGTAGACCAGAAAATCTTTCTCGAAGAAAAGCCTTGAAGCTTACCAATATAAACGTCGTAGGCCATAGGTAGGATCTCTTTGTTTCCAAACTCACGGCCGGCACTGTTGCATGCTTCGGAATGTTGATCCTTGTAGCAAGATCACTCGAAAAATTGTGTACTCCCTCAGGACATAGACCAGGAAGTTCTTCCGCTGAAAGGACCGGCTGAGGCAGTGATTCTCTTCCTGGCTTCTCAAGCTCGGGGTCGTCTTTGTGAAGTAGATCCGCATTCCAGGAAACCACTGTTTTTCCAGACTCTTTTGCTGCTTCCCCCTTCTTCGAAACCTTTCCAGGCCTGGAAGTGACTGCATCAGGGGAGGAGCTCGTTGCTGTAGAGGCGTTGAACCGTCTGATAGCGGGCAACAGTGGACCTGGAATTCTGCCGGCATTGGTCGGAGAGATCGAGCGAGACCGTCGTAGAGGCCGTCTCACTGTCGAAGATCTTAGCAAGCTCGGTGCTGAGTTTGGCGGGCCAAGCTGAGCTAGATCGTCTTTCCCACGCATCCTTCTAAAAAGAAACCGCACAAAGTAGATGTCATAGCTTCGAGCTAACAAAGGAAGGAAAGCATTTGTACCTTTCTCATTCGTGGACGCCATTGAGCAACATTGTCAGAGCTTTAGAACTGGAAACCAAGAGTTTTGAGGAAAGAAAAAAAAAAATTTAGAGAAAACGCTCATACCATTTTTATTCGAGAAACCATATGATCTTCTCGTCAGTGGCGAGAATGCTTGGAGCTCAAAACCGGGACTCCAAATCTGAGGCACTTGAATACCCTGTGAACAAACAGTGCCAGTGCCGAATAAACTTCTCGAGACTGTAGATCACGAGAAATCATGTCGCATATGCGCTTCCAGAATCCAGAGTTTTTAAATTCATCCTCCTGTTTCGATCGAAAACACAAAATCATACCTCGATGGAAGAAACATACTAAAGAATCTAGGCAAGAAGAACTCGTCCAGAAAATCAACCAGGAACAAATTTCACTCGATCAGCCTCAGCTTCGATCGCGGCCGCTATGCGATCAATCTAACAATCCAAGGATCCAATGGCCCGCAACTTAGTGAGTTAAGGTTTCTTGCCATTGCCTCCACACAAGACTTCAAACGAAACATCACTAGTCTTCTCTTGGGATGGACTCCTCTCACACCTCTTAATCGTATGCCTCCAATCACAGGAAGCATCGGCCGCGAAGGGCATGCTGGCGAGCAAATCCCGCGCACACCCAAGGAATCCCCCTTGGACCTAGGTTCCTTTTTTCTAGGCTCGTTGTCTTGGAAGATTGCACATTCCATTTGTTCCACAATTATTTGTCTATCAAATAGTCTTTCTAAACCTCCTTGTGAAATTGTTTGGCAAATGACTCAGCACATGAAAGAGGAGACAATCCACCTTCCAAAGCTTGGGTTTGATCCCCGGTGGGGATGGTGAAAGATAAATTCATCCAACTGAGTTACTGTAAAGTTCACTATTAGCATGAAATTGTGCTAGAGTTATTAGCCATTTAAGTTATGCATGAAGTACTTACATTTATTATTAATCATTTTTGTTTTATTTTGAGTTGGATAAAAACGTTGTATACTTTAAACAGCTTAACTTAAACTTACAAATATTTATTTCAAATATATTTTAATTGTGCAAATTTGTCTTTCTTTTCATGCAATTATTACTTTTACTCATCATTGTTTAAGATATGCACCACACTTATTTTCAAACAATAAATGCAATATATATCTTAAAAATTCACTTAAATCAATATTTAAAATTAAATATAATAAACATGATAATGATAAAATTTTAAAACATTAGCTATAAAGAAACCCCCACCTGAATATGTTTATTCTTGTCAAAAATAAAGAAACAAGTCTAGCCAATTATTCTCATCTTTTATAGGAAACATAATGCCCTAAATCAATTCTAATCTAAATTCTAATCTAGTTCCTTCTCAAACTCGTCATCATAGCTGATTTTTGGGAATAAAAATGGGCAATTTTATGTGATTACACTATATATATATATATATATATATATATATATATATATATAAAACAGAACTTGGTTTTTATAATGAATATTATGTGGATACATTAATTTATTAGTTTAAAAATTTTAAAATATATTAATTATATAGTTGATTTATTGTTATTTTTATTTACAATATTAAGCAAAACTTAAAGGATATAAATGATGGATAACTTAGTGGATGGCATAGAAATTTTAAAGGTAATTGTTTAAATATTTAAAATTATACTACTCAACTTTGATTTTTTATAAGAAAAAAGTAAAAAAGTTGATTATATAATTTGAAATAATAAATTAGATTTGATATAAATTTGTTTGTATTTTCAACTTAGACTCAGTTGTTAGCAAAAGTACATGATTGGTTTGAGACTGAGTCTAAGTTATGGTTAAGGTAAGAGATTTATTTATTTAATTATTCCAGCTTAAATCCATCGTACAATTGCATGATCTTATGCTCTTAGATCATGAGCGCCCACGCTCATGATCTAAAACATTACATTCTTGCATTTTCTGATTCGTCCGAGGACGCTATTAAAGATGACGCGCGTTATAAAAGCTTTGAGCTTTGAGAGAAGAAAACAAAAAATGAAAGAAAAAGCCATTTTTTTTCTCGTTAGTGGCAAGAGTCCTCATGTACCCAAACACAAAGAAAGAAGAAAGAGCAGGAGAAAATAAAAAGACCTTTCCTCCCATGTATGATACTTTCAAAACGCCAGCTCCGCGAACAATCGCTCAAGATCATCCGCCTCCGTGGAAGTCCGGTCCTGGCAGGTGCGCGACGAGATTAGGGCAAAAATAAACTCGTCGCTCGCTGCTCACCTGGCGTGGGATTTTGAGAAGATCGAGCATTTTGCCCAGGACCTTGAGACGATGGATCGCATACGCGCTTGATCGCGGCAGCTTTTTCACTCGATCGACCTCAGCTTCGATCGCCGCCTCCCGCGTCTTGTCGTCGCCGCATTGTGGCTTGACGCGATCAATCTCCATGGCCAAGAACCTAAAGATTTACCCTCAATGCCAGAAACCCGAGGACTAAAAACAATGTGACTCCATGGCCCAATGGATAAGGCGCTGGTCTACGGAACCAGAGATTCTGGGTTCGATCCCCAGTGGAGTCGATTCTTTATATATACATATTTTTATTTTATTACAAATACAAATGCGAGCCTCCCCTTTATATCGTTATATAGGCATAACAGGCGTTATGCGACAGTACAATTTTTGATATTTTATCGATATATTCTGTTAAGCCTTTTATGCGCATTTTTACATGACTGCTTTTTACCCAGGAAGATAAAAATCCATGGTGTCCACTGGTAAATTTAGCACTGACGTCTCAACCTTCCAAAGAAAATCACAACGATGATCAAAGAAGAATAGAGAGAACCGTATACCTCTTCAAATGGAACAAACACGAATGGCGCTAATCCTTTTTTGTGAGTCACGGCAGGCACATTCGGGTTGTGGCTCTCGTCTTCCTCCCAGTTCTCCACGGAGCTCAGGATTTCCTCGTCGGTGCTAACTTCGATGTCGTCCAGGCCACTGGTGACGAGCAGCAGCAAATCCAGTCGATTGTTTGCACCTGGAGTAGTACTACGAATTCTGCAATACAAAACCATGAAGAAAGATCTTTGACAAACTCAATCTTACTTGAGGCGAATTCTCAGCACTGTAGGCCGTAGCCCCGGATAAACCACGGCCGCATCCACCTACAAAAGAACTTTGGCGATTCAGATAAAGAAAAAGGGAGCACCTATTTCATTGCCTGGGATTGTGCGAGCGTGTACCGTCCCCCGTAAATGTTCTCCTTGGTAGCGCGCCGATTCATTGTCTTTGCGATTTCCTTAAGCCTCAGCGCAGTATTCTAAAGCACAAAAGGATGTAAGCTCCGAGAAAATGTGCAGAGGAACTTCGCTACCTTGTAGAGGAACCTTCCATTCGGAAAGAAACGAATATATCTGTAGTAGCAGACCTGGAACGACGAGAAAAAAAGCCATAAGTTCATCCAAAACGGGAAGAGATCATCTTACCAGATGAACTGGATTCGTAACCTTCCATTCAGCAACACCGGCGCGAATGTAAGTGTTGCGGCTCACATAAATACCTGGGACAAGCACCTCAGTCACTCGAAGATCTTAAAGAGTAACTGCAAGGAAACCATCAAAGCGAAGCCTGGGACGATGATGCCACATTTTTCGCCAAGAGCCACCGTAGTTCTGAGTCAATATCTTTCTGTTTCCTTCGACACCATGAAGCTGGAAGGTCATCACAGCAAAGTCACGTTAAAACATGGAGAGAGAAAAGAAGTGCTCTTGCCTGCCATGTCTTTAAGCATGCCAAGCGCCAAAAGACGGGATTGCGAATAGCATATCGCCACTTTCTACACACACACGACGCCTTTCCCAGCGTGTAGGGAGACAGACGCATAAAAATCTGTGAGCAGCACACTTAGAACAGCAAACGAAGAAAAATGGCAAAAACCTCATGAAGTATATCTTCGGAAAGTTTCCGATGCAATAGAGAAGGATCGAGTTCGATCTGGTAGCTTTGAGCAACCGGACGTATTCTGGTACCGTAAAGATCTAGCAAAAGAATAAAAAAAGATGAAAATGTAGAACTTCAATCCTCGAGCAAAGAATAGTACGCTTACCCAGCCAAGGTCTCGCTGTTACAAAGTACTTCACTGGTCTGTACACTTCTGTGTCGTTAATAATCGGATGAAAAACCATAGCCATTGCCCCCTGGAAAGAAGAAACCTAGTGCTCAGATCAATTCCTAGAGACTGCTATACCTTTCCACGATCGCGTCTACAAGCTGCGCCTAGGCTTGGGGAGGATGAGCGCCTTGAATTTCACCTGCAAACACGCGCCCGTCGATCAAATCCCTCGAATTCCCACGAGAACTTACGATCAAGCGCGCCATAGGCCGTGCTGCCGCCTCACAATTGAAAACCCTCGCCAATGATATCGTACGGAGATAATATTCTGCCTACGTGGCTAAGCAAGTTTTATTAAAGATAAACAATTTATCTTAAATAATGGAGGGGTCCTCGTCTTGTTAGATCATCCTCTTCATGTTCTCTTCCTTGAGCACCACAGTGACGACCACGCCGCCATCGCTGGATGGGAAGAGATAGATCTTCCCTTCGTGAAGATCATTCGTCCCAAACGTGATCCCGCACGGTTTCCCAAATCCAAACTCCGATTTCTCCACCGGGTGCTGGTTGGAGCTCACCGACTGGCCAAACGGCGTCACTCGAACCGGGCGAGGGGCCTGCATCATCCAAAGTATGGTGCTCAAGGCACTCTCCGCCCTGGCGCCATCGAAAGCCTGGATCGCGTCGTGGATGGTCCGAGCTGCGAATGGAAGCCCCCTGTTCTTGAGATCGCCGGCGCTGGCAATGGCTGACAATCCGCAGATGGCGTTGCCAAAGTAGGAGGTGGGGATGGAAGCGATGCGCCCGCGGCAACTGGCGAGGACGAAGAACCTGACAGTTTGCGAATCCGGGAATCCCTGAGCGATGACCGTTCTCTGCCAGAACTCCGCGCAGAGGGCGACGTAGGTGCTGAATCGAGCGTCGCTGCTGCCAGCCGCCGCCCGGGATTTGAGCTCCGCGATGGCGGAGCGATCGAATCGGTACTGCCGGGTGGCCAGGGGTGACGAATTGGGTACGACGAGGGGCATTTTCTCCGCGCTAGGGACGATCTCTGCTCCCCAATATCCCACCGCGTTTCTCATGTGCTCCTCCTCGCTCAGCTCCAATCCCTTGTAGTTGTAAGAAATCACCGGGGGAGGGGAGATCATTTGGCCTGTTCTAGCGATTTCTGCCCAGGAGGTCATGAAATGCCAGAAACTCACTCCATCAGCTACCTGGTGGCTGAATCCCACTCCCAGGCTCACTCCTCCACATCCAAATCGTGTGATCTAACAGGATTTGTCAGCGATGATGGAAGAATCAGTGGCAACAACCATACCTGGACGAAGAGCAGGGGATCCTCGATTTTCCAGGGATATGCCGGTGGAGGGCTCCCAATCTGGCAAAGCGTGTCGCAGAACTCGCAGGGCTCGAAGAATCCAAGCTGGGCCAGCGACTTCTTGGTCGTGGCAACAGTGAATTTGGCGCTGAAATCCACAGAGGAGCAATCGAGCTCGAGAGCAGGGGTCGAGACTCCATCGCCGGCACGCATGCGCGACGCGAATGGATAGAAGGGGACGAGGACCTCCGCGAGGCTGCTCTTGAGCAGATCCTCCACATTCTCGGGTGCCGATCTGTAGAAGAGGATTCTTTTCTGGTATCCGGCATACCCCATGAGGCGATCGAAAGTGGAAAGCTCGAATTTTGGTGGATGATCGAAAGCATTGGCCGGAGTGACGAACTCGCTGGACACTATCGCAACTTCCTCCATCGCGAGGTTTTCCAATTCACTAGCTCCTCTTCCGTGGATCTGACACGACTTTGCTGTTTCAATATACTACGACAAATATGACCGTCTTAAATGCTAATGGTAATTAAACGTTGGGAAAGACTTAGACGTTGCTGCCGTCCATCTCATTTGCATCTGCTTCGTTGCTTCGTTGCTGCCGTCTTCTATTCTATCTTATTTGGATCTTATAAGCTTCGATCGCATGAGAAGGAATACAAATATCTCGGCTATGTGATTCATCGCACTCAGCCTTGGGTGGAGCGGAGGAAAGGAGCCCAACGAGCATACTACATGTTATGCAATCATGGTCATGGAGTCGGGCTTGTTACTATGAGAGATCCTTGCGTGGCACAGGGCCATTGTATATGTTCAGAAAAGCAGATTCTCCCACTTGGACAAACTGGCAGACGCTCTCGATCAAGAAACTCACAAAGGATGGTGGCGATGTGAAAGGAGTGGACCAAAAGATTTAGCTTCGACTTGGAGATCCTCACAGCAGTCTACCCAGTCATGGACACAGATAGCTCTCGTCACATGGCTGTGCCCGAGGAAAAAGACCAAGTACAACATCTACCAAGACTCGGTCAAACGAAATCATCGGCCCCATGGTGTACAACAAGCTATCAAATGAAGAACACTAGCACGATACCGTATGGGGAGTCACCACCTACTCATGGAACTTGGACGCAGAGAACAACCGCCAATTCCGCAGGACTAACGGATTTGCCCAGTTTGTCGTGGAGAGGTTGCACACATTTTCAAAGTATGCTCAGCATATCACGATCTATGTCACCCCGAGGCTCTCTGGAAGCTGGAGACACATCAAATCTTGCAAGCAACACAGCAGATCAGTGAACTGGCCCAGTTTCTCACACGGATGGAGATGTGCTGACAAACAATCATTACACAGAGAATGCATGGGATACACACCATGGAAGCCACAAATAAAAGGAAACAATATATGCAGAACAGACAACACAAACGACCCAGGGGTGGAAGCATCCAACCGACAGACGCAAACAAAGGAAAGGTGGCTGAAGTGCACACCGCAACAGCCGAGTGAACATCCGGAGGTGGATATAGAGGCGAGGAAGAAAGAACGGCAGCAAATATCCTGCCACGTAAGCACTCCTGCCACGTCAGCGTTACTCGCGACTCCTGCCACGTCAGCGTCTTTCGCGATCTCTTGCTTCCTCAGGCCACCAAAGTAAAAAAGCAAAAGTGAGGCCTGCTGCGCCTTGGAGGCTAAAAATATAGCCAGATTGTGGCAGACACAAAAGGACCCCTCCTGGGACGAGAAAGGGAGGAGGGAGCGGCGGGAGTAAGGACCTTATAGCGGCCCAGGCGGGGAAATTTGTTTGCACAGTCTCATGCTTCTTGGTTAGGCACTGTGAGACTGCCAAAACAAAATATGTATGAATGAATGAATGAATATTGTTTTCTATTTACTCCTAATGGAGTTGTGTTGTTAGTTTAGATACTTTAGCTTAATAACAAGTTTTAAAATGCTTGGTTATCGTATTCCCTCATGTACTGCTGATTGAATGGTTGTAACATGTCACTTATCCCCTAGTTGAGAGCTGCATCAGCACTATTTGATACTGCTGGTGCGTTGGCAACTGGCTTTGATTTTAACTCGTATTGTTCTACAGGCTGAGTACATAAGTCTGTTGGTAATCCTTAGCCTGAGCCAAAGACCCTATAAAGATGGAAGAACATGATAAAAGTACTCAAACCATGCTCTCCCCTTTGGATAGAGTGGGAGTGAGTGGTAGTAAGAGGCAAAATAAGCTCAAACAAGGCACTAAAAGTCAAGATGCAATGGACTTTGAAAATTCAAGATCGTGAAATATAATTGAATTGTAAGTATAACAACTTAAATATTGCACATCCATATATTTGGCAATCATATCCTTTGGAAGGTCCAATTAAAACATTTTACCAAGCCATCTATTTCAAGATGATCTGAAATGCAAAAAAATTGCTTAATGGTGAGCCATTCCATCAACACCTTTAAAGCTTCCCCTGGGCCTTATGAATTTAGGACAGTTATAACATAAAACAACCATTTGCATCAAGAATTGTGCTATTCCATCAGGTAAAGCATCCATCTAGTAAGGTAATGATATTATACTGATACTCTATGGAAGATTGTGGAAAATGCCCCATCAAGTATTATACAACTAATTCAAATGGGAGAATGCCTTTAAAGCTGCCAAAGCTAGACTTCAGATAAGATGAGTTTAGGACAGCTGTAAAAACAACCATTTGCATCAAGAGTGCAGTTTAGTTGGCTATTCCATCAAGTACCAAGAAAAGTAATCAAATGTAATAATGATGTACTGATACCCCATGGAAGATTGTGGAAAACGCTCTATCAAGTATTATGCAACCAATCCAAACAAAGAATGCTGCTTGATCAAGCTGACTCCTCTAGCCATTAGTTAATAAGCCATAAGATAGAACTGATTACTAGAACCGAGCCATTGATCAAAGGGATGATGGATTCAAATAATACAGCATGAAAGCCTGCCAAATCTCGTTTTGATCGATAGCCACCAATAGATGTGATTGCTTGGACTTCATTGCTGCAAAAAAATTCCGAGAAGCGGTATCTGGATGATGGGTGAGAGGTGGGACATAGTGGCTTGGGCGACCATACTCCAATAGATGGAGCTCATGTTTCTCGGGCTCTTGTCACTGTCGGCGATGAGCGCTTCGATTGCAATTGCCCACGACACCACATCCACTCTGAGGCATTCGCTTGAAAGCATGCAGAACTGGGCATATGCTTGAAAAGTTTTCAGTCAAGCTGGCGTGATCCTGTTGGGATTGGAGGAGGAGAGTCAAGTGGTCTTTACCAGTTTACCGACTTCTGGTAAGTGGGCTCACTCATTACACATTGAACTTGGCCGAAGAGGGACACCCAGGGAGGTGCGACGCTGCCCGCTCTGCGAGCCAGGGACGGAAACCCTGTCTCACGTCATCTATGACTGTCCAGCCGACATGCGGCTGCGTCTTTTCTTCCCCACATTTTCACATCCCAAGCTTCATAAGCACCACAGACGCAGCAGCGATGACAGCTTTATTCCTATGCGCCATGGAAGACTGAAGGACACTAGCAGTGTCAACGACGCATGCCAGGGAGAAAATCGTTAGACTACCAGCAAGAACATCCAACACATTTGCAACTTGAAACTAATATCGTATTAATAGAATGCAAAATGGCAATGTTGTGGAAAAACTATTGACAGGTAAATCTGTGATCACGATCAGAAATAATCATCGCATGAGCAGATGCCATTTCTAAAGATGTGCAGTCGGCTGGCATCCCTGCACACAATTTCTCTGTCCTCAACCTTAGAGATTCTCGCAGTGGCATTGTGACAGTCATCACAAACCCTGAGATTCTTCACGATTCTTATAGTTGTCCCAGGCTTGGAGTTGATTAAGGCACATGCAATAGCCAACTTTTCACTGTGCCCACACAAGGCATCTTCCTTGTCAACACCTTCATCACTGGGGAAAACACCATTGATATCGGCCACATAACCTTCCACCT